AAGCAAGCAAGCGAGCAAGCAAGAAAGTTCTACACCATTCCAAGGACTCCAGGATAGTTGAAAGCACCAAATTCCCATCCTCCCAGAGCTGTGTCTCCTCATGGTGCTGAGATGTCACATGGGCACCATAGGGCAGGCGTATTTGCAGTCAGGACTTGAACAAGGACAATGGTGCCCCAGGAGTCGGGCTATGCAAGAGCCCGCTGGAGGTAGCCATCTGTGGAGACAGCCTTCTCCTTCCTGGGTGCGTCACCCCATCCTACGGGAGCTCAGAGTCTCTGGTGGATACCAGCTGCCTCTGCTCCTCACTTGAGAGTGTTTGTTTCCTGAGAGGATGAAGGGGACAGTGCTGGGGGGTGTTTCTGCACCCCTTTCACTGGGCTTGGAGAAGCAGCTGCTCCCATGATGTTGCACATCCGGGAAATTGCTGAAGACAACTGTGCAGCCCATGTGCAGGAGGAGGGTCCTCCTGCACAGGTCCCTTAGCCTGAGAGGCTGGTGGCAGAGAGATCAAGGCTTCCTGCCTCCTCCTCCTCCATTGAACATCTGTTTCCTTTTTTCCCCCTCTCTTGGAGGTGCCCTCCAGACACTTATTGTTCCTTAGGGTTGTGTTCCTTGGCCAAGGTCCCAGCTCCAAGTCTCTCCTGTGTCCTTCCCAGGCTGCTCCCTGCACCCCCCTCCTTTGCTCTTTCCAGTCACCTGGCAACACCAAGCCAAGCTAAGTAGTAGAGGTTTCCTCTGAGGGATGCATTACTGTAGCAGGTTGCATTGACATCTCTGGGGCTCTTTAGGGGTCCAACATGGACAAACATGGAGCCCCTCATCTGATGTCACATAACAGCTTTCTGCTCTGTTTAGAAATAAGACCTGCTTTGGGAGAGCAAGGTACATGGAGGAGGTGTTTGGACTCCTCAGGCCAAAGGACTCATGAGGGAGACTGAGAAAGGGAGGCAAAGCCCCTCTGTCTCTGTGTCTCCCTCCCTCATTCCTCTCTCTCTCTCTCTCTCTCTCTCTCTCTCTCTCTCTCTCTCTCTCTCTCTGTTGGAGATGAAGGGTGAATGAATAGAAAGAGATGTGATGGGAAATATATGCCTCAAGGTGCCCAAGTACATGCTTAAGAGTATACGGCTGCCTGGGGTGAAGCAGGAGGGCAGGAGAAAGCAGGGAGGCACTCCTGGAAAAGGCTCCCCTTCATTCTTTTTATTTGTTTTGTTTTGTGGCTGGCTCAGCCTATCCTGGGGGAGGGGCTAGTGTGGCATGTGTTGCTGGGGATCAAACTGAGGTCCCTGCATTTGCCTAAGCACACGCTTTAGCCCGCTGAGTTATCTCACCAGCTCCCCCTCCATTCTTTAGTTCTACTTCCCTGCCTAGGCCCTGGCATCCCAGGGACCCTGGGAACACACACCTGAGAGGTGGGGAACTGCTGAAGATGTGGAGATTCGCTTTTTGAAAAACTCTGCCTCTGTCTGCTCTGCCTGATGAGCTCCTTCCCCTATACACCTGACACCTGTAGGTGACTGTGGACATTCTTCTGTTGTCACTCATAGCACTCATTAGTTATTTAAATAAAAATTGAGCAGCTACTCCCTTTGTGCAGGACATTGGACTAGGGCCTGGCAATAGGAAAGAAAGGTGGAGGCATGATCTCTGCTTTCCTGCAGCCAGCTTACTAGGTGGGGCCAACAGTACACACATAAGAGATTCAGTGTGTGGCTGGGCATGGTGGAGCACGCCTGCATCTCATTGTGCCAGAAGGTGAGGCAAGGGGATTGTCGTGACTCCGAGGCCAGCCTGGGCTGCACAGTGAGACCCTTGTGTCCAAGAAAAATAAATTAAAGTTGAAGTGGATGCCAAACACTATGCAAACTGGTTGGTGTGGTGCCGTGCATGGTGGCCGGGAGGGGACCTGACAGGTACCATGTAGGGTGAGGCCCTTTGCAGAGGTGACCTCTGCGCGGAGATGCGCCTGAGTGTTCTTTAGAGCTCCTTGAAGGCAGGGGTTCTATCTTATTTACTCCAATAGTTCCAGTGCTCATAGTGATACATGGCACTGATTTTGAAAAATTGGTATCATTTTTATACTGTTCTATGAATGTTTGATGAATAAATAAATAAATGATGTCCTTTCAGCATTTCTTTTAAAGCTCTGAGTTCTTAATCACACGAGGACAATGATGTCAGGCGAATCTGATATCCTGATGCCCTCTGCCTGTCTTTAGCTCCCCCTTTCTTGTCTGCCCTTTGTTGGCTTTTGTTTGAATATCTTCATTGGATGCTTCAGACATGCTGAGTGAAAATGGGAACGAATACACACACACAGACACACACACAGAGACACAGGCATACACATACACACAGACCCAGACACACACACACACAGATGCACACAAACAGACACATGCACACACACATACACAGACACACACATGCACACACAGGCACACATGTACACACAGACACAGACACACAAGACACACATACACATGCACACACGCATGCACGCTCCGTTACCAACCGCCTCCATCCTTGTGAGTGCCGAAGGTTTTCTCCCAGAAGCTGTTAAGCACTCTCAAACACAGGAAAGCCCTCACTGGCTATCACATGCCTCTTTAAATGATCTTTGTGTAGCATTTTCTTTTTATTGCTTTGTGCAGTTTAACAGTGCCGATTGTGATTACTCTAACTTATGATAAGCCCAGATCTACAAAGTTCTGTTCATTCATTATTTTCCTCTTACTCCTTTTCAAGCTGTTCTTTTTGGAATAGAGTGAGGAGGAGGGAGGAGGAGGAGAAGAAAACAAAAAAGATATTAGCAAATTAACAGGAAACAAATGAAATAGGGGACTACTTCTCCTTGGGTGACAGACACTCTATTAGATACTGTTAAACAAAAACAAATATGCTTTAATACAGCACAAGTAGGTCTTTTATGTTTATTCTGAATTGGAAATATAATGCTCACCACTTTAATGGAAGAGGCAGATAATTGTTTCAATAGCTCACCAATTCCAGCAAATGGGATAAAAATAATTACTTTGCCAGTTGCTCCACGTATATCAAGGTGTGTTGCATGGCACGGAAAGGTTTCTAATTTTTTTTTTGTTCTCTATCATGGCTACTTTTACAATTCAATTATTAATAGGTGGGAGTTATGACTATTTTCAGTTTTGGTGTGAGATAATTATAAACCATAAAGTAGCTCCCCCTGATTACAGGGGCTTTTTCTTGTCTGAAGACACCATAAAGTAGCTCCCCCTGATTACAGTGGGCTTTGGAGAGAGAAGTGTGCACAGTGGCACATGGGGGGGAGCGAGTCCCTCCCTCCCTAGGCCCCCATGCCTTCCACCCTCCAGGGTCACAGCTGGCCCACTGTTGACCTATCCCTTCTTCTGCCCACTTCATCCTCCTCCTTCCATTCTGGCTTCCTTTCCTTGTTAGCTGAGCCTCGCAATTCATCCCACATGTTGGCTCATCTTGCTCACCACCCCCTGTGCCCTTGGTCATCAAGAAGTTGGGGTCAGACACCTGGAGCTTGGGTTTCAGATGCAGTCTGGCTCCTTTTTGGCTCCTCCAATCCCCATGAACCGCGGTTCAGCTTCTCTAATGAGCATTGCCAGCAAGAGAACATGTCTATTCAGCACCACGGACAGAGGCATGCTGTCAGCTCCCACAAATTAGAAGTTACTGCCTAGCACTCTTGTCAAGGCAGCGATGTTGGAAGGGAGGGAGGAGGTGAGTGAGAAAGAAAGAAAAAAGTCAATGAAAGAGGCGGATCAGCAGGACACGAGCTATGCTGCCCCCACCCCTGGGTGTGCTCAGAGAAGCGGCTTCTGGAGGTTGCTGCCTTTTGCAGGCAGGCAGTAAGTGGGGGAGGTGACTGGTTCCTGGGCTTAACTGTGCTGGTCCAGCTCTTACCACAGTGTCATCCAATGGGTGTAGGTAACAGACCCACAGATGGCAAGGGCTCAGTTCTGTGGTATACATGGAGGTGTTCATTTCATGGACAGTGGGTTGGTAAGAGAGTCTGCTGCAGAGCACAGGAAGAAGTCCCTGAAACTGTGTTACGATTTATCTCTGGGGGAAGATATGATGCAGATGAACTGCCTCCTTCATGTCTGGAGTGGGAATGAGGCTACAGAGGTTCTGAGCCTTGGGACAAAGGGGCCCAGTGCATGGCAAGCTGGACTGCTGGGAAGCCGAGGCTTCGTTTGTCTGACTTTAATGAATAAATGGCATCCCAAGCCATTGTTTATCTACTTTTGAATCCTGACAAACAGTCTGTGGCATCTGATGAAGAGGGTTATTAGTTGCACAAAGACAGATGGCTAGGGATGGAGAGGATTGGTTCTTTATTACAGTAGGCCCGTAAGTGACAGCTCTCCTCCTGCATCCCAACTTCAGCGTCAATGTCAATACCATCCTCAAGTCTTTCATGATCCAAGCAAACCCCAGAGGACCCAGTGCAAGAAGAAGCCAGAATGCTCTGTGAATAAGAGGGAGTGCTAGGCCAATAGAGCTGGAAAAGAGGTCAGACTTCCAAGTGGAAGCTCTTTGAGTACGAAGACAGTATATTCCACAGTACTCTCTGCGGTGCTCTGTAAGGTGCTATTTATCTGAATAAGCATTCAAGAAATATGAATGATAGATGAGAAGGATAGAGAAGTACAGAGTAGAAAGATAACAGAAGCAGATTTAATTGGGCTGGGTAACTTGATGAGGAATGATGGTAGGGAAAAGAGAGGAAGAGAAATAGGGAATACAAAGAGAGGAGGGGAGATGGCATATGGAAAACATTGTGAATCGGCATCTTGGGTTTCAGGCATTAGATGCTTTTCCTGATGTCATTGTGTAAAAAGCTTTATAGAAATCATACTAAACTGTCTATACTCTTCGCTGAGCTACCCCAAGTTTTTGCTTCTTGGTTCCTCTGTACCATAATCACAGGACACAGCTTCCTCCCTCCACATTCCCCATGAGATGGTGGGAAGGTGCCCACTGACCTTCATTCATTCTCCGAAACTTGTCCTTGGCCATGTAGCCCAACACCAGACAGCATCCTCTCTTCTGGAAGCTCAGCTCTGAAAGAGAAGCACAGGTGTGTAAGTCGGGAGTGGCTGAAGTATTCCAGTTCTTTCCATAGGGCCTGTGGTTATTACTCCTAAGACAAATATGCTTAATTAGTAACAAGCATATGTATATATTTATAAAGCACTCACTACATTCCAGGCATAAATTTATCAATAATCCTTATTAGATTCTCATAACATCATGTGATCTATGCACCAGTATTAGCCCCATTTTATATCATCTCTATTTACAAATGTGATAAGTAAGTAGCTTTAAAGGGCTAGCAGATGGCAGAGCTGGGATTTGAACTTATGCAGCCTGGCTTTAGAACCCATGCATACAAACAGCACTTGGAGTTACTGATGCCCTTTATGTCCCAAGCTTGGGAGCTCTGCCCAGATGCCCTTGGGACTGTGGTCATACTCCCTGGAAAAGAGATAAGAGTCTGGCCAGTGACATCCAGGGTGGAACAATGCCACTGCCTATTGTAGGTGCCACAGGAAGAGGATAAAGTGATGGAGTGAGTTTGGGAAAGACAAGGGGCTGGGGCCTAAGCAGAAGGACTCTTTACCTTTTGCATCTTGTGGAGCTGGGTATTCCTGTGCATTCCTATACTGGGGCATTGTTCAACACCACTGTTCAATACTTTTCTGTATGGATTCAGACCCTGGGGCTGGGATCATTAAGAGGTGCAAGGAACCACGTACTTTGATCCAATTTAAGAAAAAAATTAGAACAATTCCAGGTGCAAATGTGAGGGACTCTTTCTCCTTCTTCCCTCACCCTTCTCTCTCCCTTGCCTTCTCTCTCTTCCTACCTCCCTTCCTTTCTTGCAAATCAGTGCCTACTGTGTGTAGCCATGAACTGAAGTGTCTACATCAAGAAGAGGTGAGTTTTCCTCTCTGCTATTTACCCTCTAGTCCCGATTTGTCTTAAGTATTTATGGGTCTGAAGCATTTTTGTACCTGCTTTCCCTTTTGACCCTGAGGGCTGGGCAGATGGGCAATTGTTATTCACAAGATACAGATCTGAAAACTGAGGGTCAGCGATGTTAAATGACTGTCTCTTATTATTTTAGATTCCCCATCTCCACCTCTTCGCTTAGAAATCATCCAAATGTGACCAAGGCATAGACTGGGCAAATGGCAAAGGGGTTTGATTTCTAAACTTACAAATGTGACTATAGCTCCCCTCATACCTTGCCAGGATTCCTGGGCATCTGGCTGCTCCATCCCTCAGTTTTTCAGCAAAGAAGGGTCCCCACGAGAAGTGTGATAATGTATCTGTTAGCCACAGTCAGTGTCTCTGCTGTCAGGGACAGACAGCATGGGTCCCTTCCTCCCCCTGCTCGCCATCCTTTACTGCCGAGCCACTGCAGCCTCCCAAGGTAGCAGGATAAAAGGAGTGGTGTAGGGCCCAGGAGAGGCAGACAAGTCAAGCTTGGGGGCTCGCACCCCAGGGAAAAACAAAACATGGCAGGCGGTGGCAGAATGCCACAGCCCAGGGAGGATGCCTGCTTTGATCTCCTGGTTCTTTAAAGGCGCTTATTGACTATCTGTAAAGCGCAGAGAGGCAGATCTGAAGGCGCCGTTTCCAAAGGCACTCACTCTTCTTCCTTCCCCTGCACGCTCACTCACTCATCTGAGGCTCAGCCAACCGGGCCCCCACTTCAAACAGCCTCGCAGCTCAGGCACCCAAATTGATGATGTTAAGTTCTCCCATCCAAGGCCTTGGCCCTTTCTTCAGGGGCTCCTGCTCTGTCGAGGACCATGTGGATCAAAGCCCCTTTGATGTTTACTTACTGTATTTGCAGATTCTTTCTAACAACCACCTTCAAGAATCAGGAATGCAACATGCCAGGAGGGGACCAGCAGAAGTACAAGCTGGGAGGAGGCCCTGAGCTCCAGCCAACAATGGCCTCTCACTGGAGACTATACTGAAACCTTGGGTGCAGCTGCCTGAGGGGTTAGGATTCCAGGCATGCTGTCCTCCACTAGAGTGGTCCAGTTGTTTGACTGCTGCTGCATTTGCATTGGCTTCCGATGCCTAGCGAAGCGTTTCAGTGGTGGCTCCTAGTGAGAAAGGGAGTCTGGGTTTCTGGTTTGAGCACAGGGAGAAATGACAAAATGGCAGAAGTCGCTAGATGGCTATGGACAACGTTACTGTTGGTCTTTGGGGTAGACCCCTGAGCTGTCAGGCAATAGAGGGCTGAAAAATTCTCCAAAAGATTATTTGTTTATTTAATTTTTTAAAAAGATGCATTTTAGTACAGGGTCTCACTACACAGATTGGACTCATAGTGATCCTCCTATTTTCAGTCTCCCAAGTGCTGGGATTACAGGGGCGCGCCACCGCACCCAGTCTCAGTTGCCTTCTCAGCACGCCCCAGGGACAGGGCCAGCACAGCATGCTAGGATCAAACCCTGGTTCCTGCACCTGTCTAAGCAGGTACTTTAGTCTCTGAGCTATCGAAAGATTAAAGAATCTGGAAAACTAATTCTGGCTACCCTATGGGACTCAAATGTCATGCACTAGGATGTCCCCCAGGGTGACTGCCAGCGGAGAGGCCGCATGTGCACATGGTTATAAGCAAGAGTCACCCTGACCATGGCTGATTTTTGTAAATGAACAGGAAAAGGTTTTTTTTTTTTTAAAAAAACCTGATTAATAAAAGAAATTGAGGACAAGGTAATTTCTCAATGTGTTGGCTCATTTAATTTGACACGTGTGGGTTAGTCTTAATTATTTAGGCGGCTACATTACAAGGCGTTAATAAGCACACTGCAGAAATTTATTAAGTGAGAGGGCCCTCAGACTGAATCTTCTCAAAGAGGTGGCGAGAAGCCACTAGGATCTCTGCAAGGAGAAGCAGGTTGGAGGATAGGAGAAGTGACAAATAGCTGGTTTTGCATATATAAAAATTCAGAATATTCTTTGGTGAGATTTGCTAACTCAGAGATCATGGTGTCCACATGTGGAAGCATGCCTTGAGGACAGACGTAGGGGACAGGAGGAAAATCTGGAAACACGCTGGGAAGTGAGGTTTAGTGAAAGACCACAGAGAACAAGGGGGAGCAAGAGGTAGCCACTTTGACTCAGGAAGCTCCCCCAAGTCTAACAAGGCTGGTAGGAAAGAGAAGACAGAATACGACAGAAGGAGCAGGAGCCTCTCACGTGGTGAGGATGACCAACCTGCAGAGCCCCTTCCTGGTTCCATCCTGAAAGGGTGTGGAGTTGGATTAGAGATGTCTATTAGGAACAAGCTGATAAGCGCTTCCACTGAAGAGAAGGCTTTGGGGCTGCCATCTTTGGCTTCATCAGTGTTAAAACCATCTAAATACCCAGACAGCATTCATGGAAAAGGATGGACAGGAATGGAGTCTTGGCTTAAAAGGAAAGCTCATAACTGAGGAGTTCAAGGTGACCTGCAGATGGGTATGGAGGGCGCTGTGCAAGGGAACCGAAGCTTAGGCAACGCTGCCTACACAAGGCGATAGCGGTTGCGATGGGCTGTTTCTCAGGGAAAAGAGGAGACGGCACCCCAGGGACTCAGCCTGGGGACTGTGAACCCCTGAAGGCTCACAGCTCTGAGCCTTAGCCCAAAGCCGTGCCTGGTGTATGGCAGGTGCTCAGGAAATATCTGCTGACTTAAAGAAAGGATTGGTTAAAAAAATAAGGGGGAACGATTAGCTTTCCCAAGCTCAGGTCAGAACGCAGACAGGTGGGCTTAAATGTAGCACAGCGCATGTAGTCAGGTAGGACAGTCGTAGGGTTGGTGAAACCTGTAATTCATCAGGAGAGGAAACTGACAACTAGGGAATATTGTGGGAGTTCCTCTTGGGAGGAATAAAAAGGGATGGCTTTGTAAATGGAATAGATTTCTTAAGCTCCAGAGGATATAGAAGCACCTTTTTCTAGCTTTAGAGCTCCTTTATTTTTACTGGTGATAATAATGATACAGCGATACTACCTCGCATTTGGGGGATACTTATTTTTTCACGACATTGTCACATTCACCATCTCATTAAATGCTCATGGTAGCTTTGTGGAGAAGGCACAGCAGCGTGATTTCCTCCATTTCGGCTTCCGTAACCAAGGCTCAGAGAATTAAAATGATGAAACGACAACTCAAGGCCAAAGCTTCAGCTGGGGATGGGGCTCGGACCAGAATCCAAACCTTTCTCTTGCCTTGGCTCCAAAGGTGAGAACCGGGGTCACAGGGCTGCAGATACTGCAAATGAGGTCAGACCGGAAACAGGCAGCAGACAGCAGCGAAGGGGACTGGGGCAGTGCTGTGCTCTGCATTGCATTACCCCCCTTCATGTGCTGGTGCTTAACCCCTCAAGCCCCCCAAAAGCTTGTTATTTGGAGATAGGCGCTTCGCAGAGGTGATCAAGTTAAGAAAAAGTTATGGTACAATATGACTGGTGTCTTTACGAAGGGTGACACTTTGGAGACAGATACGCATTACAGGGAGAGCAGCCCCTCATGAACGTGAAGACAGCCATCTGCATTGGCAAGGAAACGGGCTGGGGTGGGACAGGGTTTCCCTGGCAGCACCGGAAGGAGCCGCCCCGCCAACATCTTGCTTCCAAACTGTGTGACAATGCCTCTCCGCTAGGCCTGCTACCATCATGTGGGAATTTGTTATGACAGCCACAGCAAACTCCTGCAGACAGCAAGAGGCACCTGGTTCCCCAGGGGCTTGGATGTTTCTGTTGGGTGTGACCCTGGAATGTGTCCTGTGAAGCAGAAGCTGTCTTGGCTCTGCGGCCGTTCTGTACACTGGGATGGCTGCTTGTAGGAGGCCAGCCTGTCTTGTCTCCACAAGGCTTGCATAAGATAGTTCCCGTGATAGTATTTCAGATGTGTGGGGCAATTTTTTCACAGTATTGTCCTAGTCTTTAGCTGGTTTAGTTGCTTAAGATGAACCTTTTCTCACCTGAAACTGTTCAATGCAAGTACGTCCCCAGAAGCAGACCAAACAAGAACTGGACTGTTATCAGCACGC